CACGTAGCACATCATTATATACCAGCTAGCCCAACTTCAGTAACCCTACAAACGTCACTGCTGTTTAGTTTTCTGTCTTCATTTATGTTGGAAGTGATAGCAGAGCTGTACGTTTGAATTTTTTCAGAAATCTCTCAGTCAGAACATGCAATATCATGCTTAGGTGGAAACTCGCGAGCTAACTTCCTGCTAACTAAACTAAAGCAGCAACGCTGATCATTTTATTAAAGGTGAAAGAATTTAGACAGTTTGTAACTCTCATTGGCGCCACAGTGTTCGTTTGACTTTGGGACCTGAAGCTGACGGAGTTTTGGACCCAGATTACTCCGCGAGGCTCCTGACTACGGTAATCGTAATGCTCAGACAATCCATCAAGCGGTGCAGCTTCGTAGCTTAGCAAAGTCATACTACAACATTTTTTGATAGATTTTTGAGCGCCGTGTACCACATAAAATCGGTCAGTAAGCCTAACCAGAATTCATACATGAGGCGCACCAATTATAAGGTGCACTGTCGATCTTTGAGAAAATTAAAGGATTTTAGGTGCGCCTTATAGTGCAGAAAACATGGTATATGAAGTCCAACACAAAGGCTATTTACAAAAAAGGAGTGAGCAGGTGCAGTCCCAAAGGAAGGATATTTTTGATATTCAGAAAACATTTAAATGAAAGGTAAAATTAGAAATCATCTAATCAAAGTTCAAGCTGACTAAATTATGAGCACGGACATCATAATAAAATGATATATTTAATATTTTTACAACAAAGGTTTTAATATTTTGACATGTTTATGCCCCGCCAATACCAGACTTTCCCATTCCAACTCCTAAAGTGCACTAGAAACAAGGAAATTTGGTAGATAACTGCCATCAGAAATTTAAGACATAGACTTGACCAAACAAATGAACTTAGATCAAAGGTATGAGCACAGGTTGATTCACAGCACAGTACCATTTAATGCAACTCAGTTACAAAGCAACAAACTAACTGAATGATAAAATTTTAATTCCAGTGGCACAGTTACTAATAAACAAAAAGTCTATCAGGTGTTTCTATCACTCAAGAGAAGTTAAGGTTTCATAATGGCACAAATCACAATTTATTATTATTAAAGATTGGCAGGCTGAGAAGTACTACATTGGCTTGGCAGCAGAAAATGCATGCATGAGCACATTCACCAGAAAAAAAGACAAATGTTGGGGAAGAAAAATCACCTAACAAATTCTATTCCCAGTTCTTTTCCTAACAATTCAGTTTCTCATTTTCCTATTTGACTGAGCTTCATCGTCTCCATTTTGACCGCTCCTGTAAATAAGGACTGTGCTTTCCATACTTGTGGATGAATGTTGGCTTGTGGAGTCCTAAATCCTCCTGGTCTCTTTAGGTATCTGTAATGTCTCTGAGCTCTATGACCTTAGCTGTATGCACCTTGGGTTGAAATACTTTGCTTCTGTACCCCTGTGGGTGGTATAAAAGATACTCTTCCCTGTTGATTTCATTTTCATCCTCATCGTTGTCGTTATTATCAGAACTGTTGTCAATAATCACCAACTCAGCTTGAATGTCTTCCTCCTCCTCAGCATTCTCGTAGCCCATGAAGATCATTGATATGGGTTCTAGCTCCCCTGGCAGAGTGCTGACAAGGTTCAGAGAGACATTATTTTCTGCACAAGAGGGTAAATCTTTGTTAGAGTCACCTGAGGTGCCTAGCAAGGGATCAGGATCAAATTTATGGTGGACGAGTGAAGAACTAGATCTATCTAATATTCTGTAGACTGGCTCTTTGGGTCCAGGCATTCCTTCAGGCCTGAATTTAACTGAAACAAGAGCTGCTGTGTTTGGACTGCTTGTATCTGTTGTGCTGTTGGCGAATGCTCTTGGACACTTGGTGCTAAAGTGTGACTGTGGTATTAGAAAGGTCTCACACTTGGCCTGCTCTCGAGAGTGCAGTTTGGCCCCTTCTCCAACTCTTCGTACTTTTAAAGTCGAGTCTTGACAGATCGATAGAGGAGTTTTGTTTGGGGGATTTTGTTCCTGCAGGCCTTGGCTGCAGTGGTTTTTCTCATTTAGGATTAGAGATCCAGTTTTGAATGAGTTTACATTCCGTAAGGGGCTGGGTTTTGAGTTTTTTGTTAGTGATTTAGTTGATTTCCTTGGTGTTGATGGCCTATTCGTCCCTATATAGGGCACAGAATAGACAGGTAGATGGTACTGCACCTCAGTAGGTACATTCCTATCAGCGGCCTGATGCAGAAGCTCTTCTACCTCGGTAGGGGTCATCTCTCCAACTGTTTCACTATGGATTTTAGTTGTCCCTGGGTGCAGTGCATACACAGACTTACGTCCATCATCATATACCTTTATCCCATTCTTTTGGATGGTTTCTGGGATGATGGTTGAAGCTGACACCACATGACTTTTGCCTGTTTTCTTATCATTTTCCACACTGATCTTCATAGCAAATGTAGCTGGAATGAAAGACATAGATGAACTCTTAGGACATGTACTGGACAATAAATATTGTTCAAATAAAGTTTATATTGCTGAATTTTCTTCTAATGCTAGATTTGGAAGAGTTTTCTTTGTATTTAATGACAGAAAAACTCCCTCAGCACCTCATGAAAGCTCCTGCAGTCGTCATAGTGGCTAAGACGAACAGGTACATGGCTCAATACATGAGCCCAGAAAGGAACTAGCAGAAACCAGCAGGAGAAAAACACCAGCTGCTAGTAGACAGAGCAGGTACTCGAGATTGCAAGATCAGACTGAACAACCTGTGCAACATCTCCATCGACTACAAGAAAACCTGTGACTCAATGCCTGGGATGCTTAGAACTGTACAAGATGAACAAGTGCCTAAGAGCCATCATCAAGAGCTCAGTGGGAATGTGGTGAACAACACTACAGGCCAATATGTCTGTGTAGGTTCTCAGTCATTAAGGCCACAGTAGGCTAAGGAGCTTGGAAACAAAGCCAGTGGACTTTTGTGAAATTTTGTGATTTTCACCTCTCATCCAAAAGACTTGTTTACTTCTAAAACCAAATGGTGGAAAGTCAAGGTCAAGGTCAAGGTAACTTTATTTATACCCAAAGGCAAGGTAAATTTGCTTTACAGAAAAATGACAGCATTTGGCATCCCTTTAAAAACATACATACCTAGTAAATATATTTACTAGGTAATATAGAGTTAGAGTTATTAACACCAGGGGTTTCACGGGAAACCATGTGACATGCTAAGGTCAACTGATGGGTTGAGGCACCTGGGAAGGGATCTGAGGACTGCATGGTCTATATTACTTCTCTCTCAAATCATCTGTCTTCTTCATCCAAAGTGTAAACATTGGCATCCTCAAATGAGTGACCTGTCCCAGGTATTCAAACACTAGTGGGGGTTGACCCTGAAGAGGGTCACTGACCCACTATCAATCATGTGCGTCATCACAAGAGCCAGGGTATGAAAAAAGGCATGAGTTATTAACACCAGGGGTTTCACGGGAAACCATGTGACATGCTAAGGTCAACTGATGGGTTGAGGCACCTGGGAAGGGATCTGAGGACTGCATGGTCTATATTACTTCTCTCTCAAATCATCTGTCTTCTTCATCCAAAGTGTAAACATTGGCATCCTCAAATGAGTGACCTGTATCCTTACAGTACAGCTATCTCTTGTCCTGTTGAGGTGGCTCTTCTATGTTGTGCAATTTGTTTATGGACTGGCTGTTTAGTTTCTCCAATGCAGAAGTTTTAAGCACTTCTCCCTGCACCCCACAGCACACTATGCTGCTTAGCTTGTTTGTTTGTGAGTTTTGTCCTTGGGATTACCTGTCATGGTTCTGGTCTTTCTGGTTGGGCTCTTTCTGTGTTTAGAGTTGGGTTTTGAGAAATGGTTTATGTTCCTAAGTTCTATTGATATACTTTGGTTTCTTTTTGTATTTTATGCTTAGTCTTTTGTTCGTGGGTCATCATCATGGTTTGCCTTTATTGCCTTTACAGATGATTCTGTCTCCGAGCGTTTGGATTTGGGTCCTACACATCACACTCAGTCTGTAATTCCACAGACCTCGACAGACCTAGTTTCCATCTAAGGGTGTGCCCGTGTTGGAAGTGCATTGGGATGTTGATGTTGTGCTTGGAGTTTCTCTGACAGACCTGCTACATAAGGGATGGCAGTGTCGTTCCATTTGTCATTCTGTTTCTCCCCAGTTGGTTTCTGACCTTCTTTCCTGTGCGTCTTGAAGACCCAGTTGGAATAACCACATGTGATAACACTTTTCTTTATGTGTGTGTTCCCTAATGCTGTCCACAAACGTACACTGAATCAGATAAAATCATATTGTCCTTTGATTTGGTTTCACTCTTCAATTGTATCCCTACAACTAAGGCATCAGAAATGCTCAGGAAACAAGTACAGTAACAAAAGCTTTTACGTACAATATAGATTTTTTGCTGGGGGAATGCATTTGATACGTGCTGCTTCAGTCTATCTTACTACAACCATTGAAATGCAAACTGTGCATGCATGTATTAACTTGGTGATATCAAAAATGTATAAATATTGTAATTGATTCTAATCTGCTGCTGAGTCTATGTTACACTGTTGAAACTGAAGCTACTAGAACACAGGACACACACCAAGAATTCCTGTGGAATCACGCATGTTAATTTCACTTTGATCTGTGACAAAGTCACAAACCTTCTTTATCAGGTTGTGGGACAATAAACAGTTGCAGTGCTCTAAAGTACAGCCATCACCTTAGAAATACAAACTGATAATTTTCTGGAATTACAATATTTATTTTATGCTCTATCACTAAAATACTAAATTAAGATTTGCGTCAGCATTAATTGCCTGTGCTTTTTACAACAGATTTATAGACTTTTAATCACCACGTCATAAAATAGGTAGCAGTCATAGGGATCATTTTCTGTGGAAAAATAATGATATAATCTGGGAAATGGAATAAGGGAAGCATCCCCCTGGTATGTTGCCTGAGCTTTGTGGTAGGTCCCAGGCCTCTGGAAGAAGCCCCAGGAAGTATCTTCAACAAACTCAATAACATATTCAACAACAGTTTAACCATGAAGTCTAAGTTGAGTAACACTATGTAAGCAAGTCCAAGAGTCTCAACTCTGAGTAAGCTCACGCTCAGTTAAGCATGTGCGTGACAAAAGAATGAAAACCATTGAAAACCAGTTTTTATACTTTCTGTGGTCACGAATTACCCAACATTTTACTGAAAAATACAGGACAGCATGTTTTATCAGGAAAGGCAAAAAAAAAAGTCTACGATTTCATTGATTTTAAATATTTCAGCACAGTTTTCATTTTAAATAAAGAATACAGATCATTTTGGGAAAGAATAAGCTGGATCCAAAGTGGATACACATCCAGTCTGAATCTGCAATCCTTATGTCTTTTGGATTTGTCCTGCAGTGCAAAAGGACTGAGAGCAGACACGAGTCAGGGTAATCAAACTCAGTGTTGCTGTATTGAGACTTTAGATGGTTCTCGCTCTGACTTTCAGACACTGTGCCTTTTAAAATGTTTTTTTACAACATGTAGTCCTGAACTAATTCTCAATTTGTAAACAAATGTAACATAAAATATTGAGAACTCGGACAGGATGCAGCTAAAAGTCCACTTTAAAACACATTTTTTGAGTCTTAAACTCATTTCAACCTCATCGTCGCTCAAATATTCACATCATCGTTACCCAACTGTAACAGACCTTTTTTCATTAGTTTGGCTAATTACAAGATAACAAATGACTAATTATTGATCAGTGTTATGTGTCTAAAGTTTTATATAGATAAGTTGTGTAATGTACCCGAAAGGTTGGTTCTGTTCATCTGGACGCAGCGTTATCAGTGGGAGAAACATTTCATCAGTCATCCACGTGACTTCTTCAGTCTCTGACTGCAGCAACAGGACCGCTCTCAGCACCGACCAAGTGTGTTTGAACTGTGTCTTCTTTCCACATATTTCACATACAAGGGTCAGTTCTACAGGCAGAATCATGGGTACCATGGGCTCCCAGTTTCACCCATCGTGGCCAATTTGTACACAGAAGAAGTGGAAAAGAGGGCTTTGCTATCCTGCCCTGGAACACCACCAAGCCATTGGTTCAGGTATGTGGATGACACCTGGGTGAAAATCAAATCTCAGGATGTACCACAATTCACAGATCACATTAACTCGGTGGACCGACACATCAAATTCACCAGGGAGGATATGAACAGTGGCAGGTTAGCCTTCTTAGACTGTGAGATTTCCATCAGTAATGGAGGACATCTAAAAGCTGACGTGTACCGTAAACCTGCACATACGGATCAGTATCTAAGGTTTGACTCTCATCATCCACTGGAGCACAAACTGGGCGTCATCAGGACACTACAACACAGAACGAACACCATCCCCACTGACACAGCAGCCAGGGAGGCAGAAGAACATCAGGAAGGCCCTGAGTAAATGTGGTTACCCCAGCTGGACTTTTGTCAGAACTGGAAAGGCTCCTAAAGAAACCTCCAGCTGATCCAGGAGAGAAGGACAACCAATGACTAAGCGAAAACCTGTAGTGATCCCGTACGTGTCAGGAGTATCGGAGCAGCTGAGACGCATTTTCTCTAAACACCACGTATCTGTGACCTTTAAAGCCCAAAACATGTTGCGGCAAAAACTGGTCCACCCCAAGGATCGGGTCCCCGACACAAACAGAGTAACATAGTGTACGCTGTTAAGTGCAGGAGGATTGGCAGGATTTATACATCGGGGAAACCAAACAACCAAAGAGGACGGCACAACACAGAAGAGCCACCTCGTCAGGCCAGGACTCTGCAGTCTATTTACACCTACAGGCCAGTGGACACTCTTTCAATGATGAGGATGTAACATCCTGGACAGGGAGGAATGCTGGTTTGAGGGCGGAGTCAAGGAGGCCATTTACGTGAAAAGGGAAAGACCATCTCTGAATGGAGGAGGGGCCTAAGGGTACATCTGTCACCATCTTACATGCTGTGATTGCAGCCATTCCCCAACTCTCTGTGAATGGGACTCATGGCCATTGATCAGTGGTTGTTGATCAATAGTCATGAGAATTTGCATAATCATGATGAAGGAACTGACCTCCCAGCCCATTGTTCCTTCAGTGGGCTGGTTTCAGTCATTATGTAAATGTCCTGTTTATAAGATTGAAACCTGCAGTCAGCTGAGACTGAAGACGTCACCTGGATGATGACGAAACATTTCTCCCAGTGAAAACGTCCAGATGAACAGAATCAACTTTTTGGAGATTTACCTGGATGACTGAGCATGCATCAAGACTGATGTAATGTACATTACATTTTTCCAGTGCAAGGAAACTGACAGCTGGCATCAGATGTATGATACGAACAGCATGTACCAGTCACATAACCACTGAAACATGGTAACATTGTTATAGACTAGCATCAATATTATAGGTTTCAATATTGTGGCTGATCAGTGTATTCTTAGCATCATGCTGAAGGATGATCATTGTAATCCATCTGCACCAATGTAATATTTTACAGCCTGTCAGAAGTATACCTTTCTTTGGTTCATGGCTACCGAGTTCACATACAGGATGGGTTTCTGCTGCTGCCAGTGGAATGAGTGATAGCATATCTGGTAGTGGTGAAGGGACATGATGGGTCACATCTAAGAAGAATATAAGACCAGTGAAATGAAAGCAAGCACAACATAAGCCAAGATTAGCTATATTTGGGCAAATATATACATATGTCACCATTTTTAAGATTTCATTATATTAGTAATATGACACATTATTCCAGTATGTGACAACAAAGACACTTATACAAGAAATTACAGATCAAAATGAAAACTGATATCCATCTTCTGAATGAATTCTCACAACTGATGCTCAGTTTTATCATGCCATAAATATTTTATTATGTTTCTAGTAATCTGAGCACACTCGGGATAACCAAGTATCCCATGATGCAAAAGCTGCTATTATGCTTTAATGAAGCTCTAATAAGTTTTGTAACCATTTACCAGGAGAAATTACTCACAGCACATCAAAGAGCTAAAAAAAGTGCACACCTGGTTGGGACTCTGCGTGTACCTCCTATATGTGGAGACAAAGTAGTTGAGGTTCAAAGTAGTGAAAGAAGCATGAAGTAAACATCACAGCAGTGCTACAGTTCAGCTTGTTTAGTAACGGCAGTCCACAGCTGTCACATTAGTAATTTCACTAGGTTAAATGAAGACAGAAAGCAAAGCAAATCAGGCATATTAGTCCTTGCACTGCATCCTCACAATGTGAGTAATCCATTTATCTGCCACCTAATTCACTCGAAGCAGTCGCTTGTGCAACAAAGCCCACCCACACAGTCTTCAGTGAGAACATCTTATTAGAAACAAGCAGAGCTTACAGATAGCATAGCAGTTAGCAGGAAGTCAGGAGAAAACATCATTCCTTTAAAAAGGTGCTAGAATCTGTTCACAACAATGAAAATTCAAATCATCATCATCCTCGGTAAAACTGGCGTGGATTGCATGAAACCACACCAGCAAAACACATTTAGCTACTCTGCACACTTAAAAAATGCAGTAATTGAGTACTTAGTGTTTTTAAAGGTGACCCCAATGGACAATGAACAAGCCTTAGTCTAAGACCTTAACTGATCTAACTGCAGATTAACACTACAGTACACATCTATAGTACACTATGCACAGTGCTTTGTGTGTATATCAGTTTATCATTTTAAAGTCTAACACTATAATTCTATTTGTGTGATCATTTTCTTCTTGTAGGCATATATTTCTGCTGGTAGTTGTGTGGCAATGAAAACTATACACTCAAGGCTGATGCTGTTGCCTTCATCATCAAAATATAGTTTTCTCAACTGATTGTAATGAAACAGCTAACACGTAACATTAACTAAAATATTACTAATTACCAACTTCATCCCTAGTTCGAGTCAAATGTGTTCAAGTCAAATGTGGTTGTAACATTATAAGATTAAGATACCCTGCTCCTCGTATGAAGATAATATGACATTAAGGCAACATGACATCACTAACAGCAGACCAAATAAAAGACTTAACGTGGCAGTGGGGTCAGGTGCAGAATTAAAAACTCTAGAACAGGGATCGGCAACCCTGGGCACACGTGCCACAGCTGGCACGCGAAGGGTTAACTGATGGCACGACCATAGCTGGACTGGCCATCTGGGCCGACTGTGATTTTTCGTTTCTATGGGCCGATGATTTTTTTTGTAATGGTATAAACAATGAGAGGTGGTGGATTGGCCAGATGTGTAAAAATAACTCTGGTGGTGGCTATGGCACAGCTTCCACTGAGGCCAGCAGGTGGATGAGGGAAGGGGAGGCAGGAGGAGGAGAGACCCGAGGCGGCCGCTGGTCCGAGTGTCAGGTGAACTGAACTTCAGGTAAGAAGTTATGACCTGCAGTCTATCTGGGTCAGATATAAACCGAGTTTAGGTGGAGTTTATTTTCGTTGTGTTGACTTTTTACAGTCAGTTACAATAGCTCGTACTGCGTGCTAGCTAGCATGATGGAGTTTCTATACAGCTGGGTGGGTGCTATGATGTTACTGATAGTGATCTTTATTTATAAGGTTAATTATTAGAGTTGCCAACCGTCCCATACAAACGGAATCGTCCCGCATTCAGAGAAAATATTACGCATTTCGTATTGAGCTGAGAAGGAACAGCTCAATACGACTTCAGCTAGAATAGAAAAAGACACAAAGCTGGAGTTACTCTGTGTCTTTGCTGCAGAGCTGCCTCTTCTTTTGTCATTCTCTGCCCCTCCCACTCCTGTTGCTACTTCAATCATGAAACTGATCAATGATCAGCTGATCGGCTGTTTGCTGGAGCCACAGCTGTAAAGCTGCTGGTCATGATGTCGGTTTGGTTATCTGGTGAGAGGGAAACATGAAGATGAAACCAGGAGATGTCCTTACTGAATCATCAGAGCTGTGATGGAGAAACAGGTTTACCTTTTAGGTGACATGAATGAGTTGAAGTTATGAACTGTTTCTGAGAGACAAATAACACCAGGATCCTTTTTTATGTAGCAGACAGCTGGTAACTGTGCAGGGGCGGATCTAGCAAAGTGTTGCCAGGGGTCCATGTAGGGCATTAACAGGGAGAGGGGGGCACAAAGAACCAGATAAAAACCAAAGTTTTTATCTGATTTAAAATGTATAGAAATCATACATATACCAACAAGACTGTACATCACTGTCACAACAGCGTTTGTTTTCATTCAAAGGCTTTATGGCTTTAATACCTGGTGGGCCAGTCTCTAGTCAAAATGCCCAGGCTGATTTTTTTGTCCCAGTCCAGCCCTGGGCACGACACGCAGTGAGTTAATCTGAGCAGGTGCATTAAAAAATGAATGGCTGGGACAGCGGTGCACATCGCAAATTAGCTCGCATAGACACATTAGTTGTGCCGCTTCTTAATGACGGTATCTTAGCTAACAACCCCAACTACCAGATTCAACTTGTAATTGGCTAAAAATAACTTAGCGTACCGGTGAGAGGGACGTTGCTAGGTGGCAGTTTTTTCAAGCTATGTTGAAATTTCCACATTCCAACACTTCAAAACGTTCAGCAGCTGTTCGCTCAGCGCAGCACCGTGGAAACACACGGATACATCTGTAGACTCGAGACAGAATTCACAATGGGTTTTCGGGACTTTCAGGCGTATGGACCAATGTTTTTTTTTCTGATCAAACCAGAAAGCTTTAATGAGCAGCTGGGTTTGTCTCGCATTAACTGGCTCAACAAAGAGGACATCGAAATGCAGCTGATAGAACTGAAAAGCTCGACTCTGTGGGGTCAAAGTTTGCAGAACTACGGACGCAGCTGGAATCCACAGCTGTGTGTGTTCATGGAGCTGCATGTTCACCTGCTGGACATCACTACCTGACAAGTTTAACTGTCTTCAGAACATTGCAGAGGCCTTATTGACAGTATTTGGCTCGACATGTCTGTCTGAGCAGATTTTCTCTCACACGAGTCCTCAGGTAGCCTCTGAATGCTGGACACTGGGAGACCTGTGTCTCTGAGTGGGAGACCAGAGATCATATTAACATGTGTGTCTCTGTATTAACATCATTGTACTTTACTTTGGCCTTTGACACCACGTGAGATGTTGGTTTTTATATTTATTTTTATTTTATTTTAGTTGTTTTTAGGTGACTCGATGCTGTTTTATCTTGTTTTGTTTTAACATAGGGCTGTTTTAATTTTAATTTAAATTTTATGTCTTATGTGATTTATTTATTTAATTTGCTATTTAACTTACTTTCTGTACAGCACTTTGTTCCTGTGCTGGGTATTTTAAAGTGCTTTATAAATAAAATTGGATTGGATTGGATTGTTGTGAGGAGACCATAAATAGCATTTGCATTTTCTGTATTTGCTGTTATGGATAAAAAGTCTTTGTTTTTTTTTGTTTCAAAATAGCTGATAACTATTCGCTGACAGCTGCCAACATCTGCCAACAAATATAATTCTATAAAGTGGTTCTATATAGTGTGTAACTGTTAATATAGAGCGTTATTAAATTTATTGCTATTTATTTATTGCAGAAGTCAATAAATTGCTACTGCAATTTATTGCTACTGCAATTTATTGACTTCTGAGGAAAATTTTAGATGCACTCATCATCAGAAAGGTTGCCGACCCCTGGCCTAGGCCATGTGCCCGAGGACTGCCACCAAAACTTCTTGGGGTACTGAATAGGGCCGCAAAAAGCCCGGCCACACAAAGGTGGAGGCTCAGCTGCTGGATCTGATGATTCTCGAGCAGTTTGTCAAGGGACTCCCGACAGGAACAGCGGAGTGGTCCTTTGCCATCACTTTGCCCTCTGACACCTTCCCTCAGTCCACGAGGGACGCATAGTGGACTGAGGGAGGGTGGCTGTAGCTCAGGTGGCAGAGCA